CTAGCCAGCTTACCCTAGACCCGTCCACTGCTCCTAGTGTTACCGCAAAAATAATGGGTTACGACTGTGCTACTCAGTGTCGTAAAATGACCCTGAAATAGAACATATCTTTAAAAAAAAATGGTGGTGGTGGCACAGCACTTCTGAACCCCACAACAGGATTGGAAAGCTTTACTCACCAGTCCCTCTTACATTGAGGAAAAAAAAAACTGCCAGTAGTTCACATCAGATAATTTGAGAAACACTGTAACAGGACTAGTGATCATGATGGTGTGAAAATAAAATAATTCAAATACATAGACTAGAATTTAAGAAGTTTGTCATTAAGTTATCATTATTTTGAACATTTTACGAATACCCCTTCTTAAATTGGAGGAATAAGAGCCCTGGGCCCGGTTTTTAAATTCAAATTTCTTGATGTGGAGTGTGAATGACATGTGTAGACTCGTGTGATAAAACCACGACTTCGTTCTGAATGTTTATGATAGTAATTTGAGGTTGAGGAGGGGGAGATACTACAATCCCAGCATTTATTCTGACGGCAAGTTCCTCTTCTCTCTTCCGCCCAACTTTAAACTGACTTTGTGTCACATTCGGTGTGCGCTGAAAAGTGAAATACTTAATGGCTCTGGAGTTAACTTTTGCACCGTAAGTCTGGTAAAGGTTTCTGTTAGTTTGAGATTGGAGAACTTGCCCAGTTCCGGGGATTCCAACCCTGTGGGATCATCTTCCCCATTGTAGTAAAAGAAGGTCGGTGTAATATCAATGCCAACGCGACATTAGTCACGCAGACTGGACAAAAACTTGTTTTGATCCATATGTATGTGTATGGCGCTTTCTACGTTAAAACGACATTGCGTCACATCCTGCCTTGCTGAGGAGGCCGGGTAAATATATAAAGGCTATATTAGTAAAGCACTGAATGAGTTAGTAATGGTTTGTAGTACTAATTTTCTAATAATCAATTCTACAGTCGAAGTGCTTTCACCACAATTATATATAATCGGTATGTAAAATATAATTGTAAAACAAATTATTAGAAATACTAATGAAGTGATATTTTTTATTTATTACAGTTCTTTTGTTTTTTATGTAAGAACAGTTTTCAGCTTCGTTTCTTTGCAAGTGAATAATTCTTTCAGATGTCACTTAATCATTGTCCAATATTGTCTCAAATCCCGAACCCCCTCTCAAGGGGTTAGGTCGTAAAAAACGAATAAATCAAGGCAACCTCTCTCAAACCAGAATTACGAAAGACTGGCGTGAAAACCTCTTGGTCTGATCAAGAATGGATTTGCGAAACATTTCTGACGCTTTCTCATTTGGCTAACTTTTGAGAATTAAATCGAATTGAGAGCTTTCGTCACCGCCATATAAAGTAATTGTGTCTCTACTGATAAAATAATTGAAGAGACGTTGTAAATAACGTACGTATGCTTTTCGTATATTTTGTATTGCTGTTGTGCGATCTTATTAAAAAAAACAAACAAATTCAAAACGAGTGTTCCATTAGAAATATATGCGAAGATTTTAGAACAGAAAGGTTCAACGGAAAATATAGAAATCTATGAATTGATCTATCTGCTTTTTGTAATCGGAAGCATCATTTGCCAACAGGAAGTAGCATCTTAGAAACTCAAATGGAATTAATTCAACTGAATCCACATCTAAAAGCAAGGACATCGTTAGTCAACTAGTTTCTGAAAACCTCACTGTTGTGTAGATTTATTGTAAAAAAAAAAAAAAAATTACAATTTTGTCACAAGGCCGAAAAAGGCGGGGGGATGGGTTGAGGCTGGTCTTCACTGATTATCTTATACCTAGCTAATCCGATTCACGAGCCATTCACTTATTACAATTTGCACATTCACCACAAGAACTCATCCGTCACCAATCACTCCTCCATTTACTATAATGCCGCATCCTCTCAGGGGACCTAAAAAACGCAACCCATGACATAAAGATTTCTGATTATAAAAAAATTGTACATAAAAATCTGATGATTCACAATGAGAGGGGAGGAGATGAATCCAAAAGCAAACTAAATATCAAAACAAACCAAATAAAGATAACTGGTGTTAGTAGGACCCGTTCAACCCTCAAAAAAGTGGGGGGCGGTCGCTGTATTTTGCAAAACCTCACTTTAGTGAATTCGATCCTCAGTTAGCATCTCTTATTTATATTCTTGTATCGTATTAAACTAAACTTAATAAATATCTCTAGAGATCCAATTGGAACCGTATCTAAATACAAAGGCATTGTCGTCTAACCGTAGAAAAGTATGAGCAAACTGTCAATATAAGTAGACCAGTTCGATTATCAGCGGTTATGATACACATTTATGCTTATGAATGTTTACGCTAATCCAGATATTTTCATGCTTTTTAGACCATCAGCCTCTTCTTGGAATTATTTATCCATCATCGACCCCTAAGTATGTGTAAAAAAAAAAAAAAATCATATTTTAATTAAGAGTAGACATTATATTGTCTTTCTCTTTATTGTTTCGCATTCATTCATTTTAATTTTACGTTTTCTTGTTTCTTTTTCTATTTCTATAGTAGACATGTTTGTTCAATAATAATAAGCAACTTAATAGAACAGGCAATAATAATGCATTAAAAGTATACCCTTTTATTGAAGTGGTTGACATTATTGGGAAGGATGTGTTTGATCAGTAGTAACAAGAGCATAGATATTTGATTGCAAATTGGTGGGTTTCAGTCGTAAGTCAGTACCATCTATTTATCGACCCCCCACTTTCGAACCCTCCATGCATTTATCGATTCCCAGGAATTGATACTGACAACTTTGGTGACCCCTCGGTTAATCCTACTCTGCACATTTTTATTTACTGATGAAAAATGATTAGAAATGAATAGAGTTCAAATTCCGGCCGTGGCACTTTTGAGCGTTCTGTATCCTAATGCAGAAAGACATTAATTTATTGCCTTCAAAATCTCTGTTGGCTTTTGGTACCCGTAAGCGAATACGATCTGTTGTATGTTACTTGGAGAGGAGATAAGTGCTGCCAAGTAATGCCATTTCTTCGAGAAATGCCACTAAGAACACGTCAGGGTATACCAACGATCCGCTAGATCGAGGAATAATTTGATTTTGAAGTTATACGTTAACTGCCAAAATTTTTATACGCATTTTTGGCCCGGACAGGTGTCTTAGGAGTTAAAACAATATACAATATAAAAATTTTCTTCCAATAGCTGGTACTTTGAAACATTATAGAAACTAGAACATCAAATATATGTGTATAAAATATCAAAAAAATAATATTGGTTAGAAATATTAGAAAAATACTTTTCAAAATAGTCATTATTTTTCTACTCGTGAAATGTGAAATTACGACAGAAAGTGTCTTTATGATTAGTTACGGCTAATAATAAAAACATTAAAGGCTAAGTGTTATAAAATATACCTCTGCAAATACAATGTATGTAAGCAATTCAATGTAAATACAACTCATGTAGTGAGTTTAATTTTAACAGATCCCCAAATAGGGCTCATGGCAGATAATGGGTTAAAATACGATGCGTCAGTATCTTTTTCAGTCGCTTTTCAAGGATAAATCCTTTTTATTGGATTTTTGTATACTATATAGATCAAATTTATTTTAGATTCTGCTGGGCTGGAAATTACAAAAAGAGAAAGCTTTTCGCTTATTGGAAATTAGTTTCTTGGGTATAACTTAACAATGTGATCTACCGAACCTGATCTACTAGAACAATGCACCACTAAAGTATGTGATGAACGAGTTGATAAAATTTTCTAGGTTAGAAATAGATATATGCGGAATAAGACGGGGAAAAAAAGGAAGTCTTTATTTAATACATTATAATAATAAACAAATAATTCTTATTAGAAACCATCATTTGATCCGGTGTACCTTAGGCCTTTCGGTCAACCGAGAGATTTTAGCCGAGCAAGGTCTTTTAAAAAAAGAATAAATAGAACCCTGCTGGACTCTGACGCTTTCCGTTGGCTGAGCAGTCTAAAGCACATCGGATCAAATAATGGTTTCTACAGAGAGCACATTTTTTTTTTTGTACCATTTTAGCATGTTTCCTAACGATCAGTGTATCCTACCACCACATTTGTATCCTACTGTTATGAATAATCAAGAGTGGTCTCCCCTTGTTTTGTTACTCTCCTCTTTGAGAGAGCTATTTCTGTTTACTGGGACTATAAAAAGACACTATACTCGAACCTTGAATTCCCTGCTTTCTTAATCCCTACACTTGCGTACTTTTGTCATTACACCTACATTATCTAAGGGAAAAGCAAAAACGGAAATGGGGATGCCATTTACTGTTGTATTATAAAATTTAAAAAAATATAAAATAAGAAATTTGACTAAAAATCATAAAACAAGATATTGAATCTTTTAAATAAAAATATTCTGAATATCTTTTTAATATGTCGAGAAAAAAGTCGGGACAATGCCTTAATAATGTATTAATTAACCAATATATACTAACACAGAAACTTAACGGTAGAGCATAGGTTAAAGCGGTACCTTTTCTTTATTAGATATTTATGAAGTTAAAACAATATACAATATCGGTAGACATAATACATACTGTTTATTTTTTTAAAAATAAAAAGGAAGAGGCATTTTGCTAAAAGATGGTAATCCACTAAAAACATTATTTTAAAAATTACCGTATATACCCGCGTATCATGCGACTTTTGAAGACCTAATTTTGAAGCTAATTTGACTACAGTAAATGGATATATAGTTTGGTCAAGGCGTGGTCAAGGTCAACTGTACATATGCTAATTTTATATCTCATGTAGAATGCGATCTCTTTAAAATTAGCTTCAAAATGAAGTCTTCAAAATTCGCCCGATACGCGAGTATATACTTTTTTTCTGGAGTTACATTCAAATTTCAGATTTAGATTTTTTTTTTTTTTTTTTTTTTTAAATTTAATGTTTTATTTATTTACTTTTTTGACAAATTACTTTTTTTTTTTGGTTTAAAGCTCGTCCTCACGAACAAGTAAGCTTGGATCTAAGCAAGGGCAGCGGTACCCCTGGACGTGATCAATCCAACGCCTTCAATCCGAGTCGTTTCTTCCACTCAAGTCTCAACAGTTCTCGAAAATACGTCCCCTCTTTCGGCCTGGCCAATCGAACCAGTCAAAATGATAACGGATACCGCAGGCCTAAATTAATCACAATTGTCCGTTATGGACCACGGCCGCGGAACTCCATCAAATTACTGCTGAATCGACAAAGTGTCATGTCCTTTGAACAACTGCTGGCCGATATCGCCGATTCATTCGGTCCCAAATGGGAGAATAACAAGTTACGGAAGCTTTATACATTTCGTGGGAAGCAAGTTCAAGGCGTGAGCGACTTCTTTCGCGATGATAATATTTTTATTGGAATCGGCACGGAGAGCGTAAGCGACAATGATCTCCAGGACATACTGGAAGAACTCCAGCCGAACAATCCACACACCAAAAAACTGATAAGACAATGGGACAAGACGAAGCATAGAAAGACATCTCAAGACGGTTATCTTAAATTCGAATCTGAGAAATTAGACAGCGGTTTTGGAAGCAGCGACATTGGCAGGAAGGAGGCTGAAAATAATGAAAAAAATAACTGTACTGTAATCGGTGATAGTGGCGCTGGCAGGGCTATTAACTATCGCTCATCACGTGTCAGTCTGGAGCACCAATTAAAGGTAAACCAGAACAAGGACTTTCGCTTAGTGATGAGGGTTGACAGGGAAAGAGAACGGGCAGCTTATGAGGAGCGAGTGAGGGCGAGAAAAAGACAAAAGAAACTGAAGGAGACTGAGAAACAAATTTTAGACGAGGAACGTCGACGGATGAACAAGCAATTGGGCAAGGACCCAATGAAAAAGTTGAAAGATGATCGCCGGGTGGGTCCCATAAATGAAAACGACCTTCGGCAAGAGAAAACTCAGTTGCAGCAATCACCCCGGGACAAGAACGAGGTTTCGAGTAAGCATCAGAAAACTGTACCTGGAAAGGATTCCAACCACAGTAATAACAATGTTGTCCGAGGAAATACGGTCTTGCACGAAAGCCAGAACTCGTTGCTTCTGACTCCTAGATCGAAACTTGGCTATCAGGTGACTAATGAAAACGTTATGGAAAGATACGAACTCGGACGCACGCTGGGTTACGGAAATTTCGCAGAAGTGCGCGAAGCGAAACAGAAGAACTCGAACCGAGATATGGCATTGAAAATTATCGATAAACAAAAATTAATGGGAAAGGAACACATGGTAGAAAGTGAGATCGATATTTTGAAAATTTGTAAACATCCAAATATAGTGAAGCTTTACGAAGAGTTTGAGACATCAGACAGGATTTATCTAGCCATGGAATTGGTCAAGGTAAGACGTACAGATGCTTGTAAGTATAGCTGTCTTTTTTTTTTTTTTTTTTTTTAACTTCAATTTCACAATTTTTGTAAATATTTAAATCTAGTTTTCAAGCTAAATTACGAGATATTTTCAGAAGTGTGTTACTGTTTTATACTAAAGTTTACTTAATATAAGGTTCGTGAGCCACTACGGGTAAAAAAAAATTACTGAATGGTGTTGGGAGATACGAATCTGAGAGGATAGGAAGTGAAGATTATGAGGATAAGGAAAGATTTTAGTTTTGAAGGAAGTATCCCCGCTGGAGTCTGTTCAACAAAATGGCAGTTCTTGGGGCGTAAACAGACGTGTGAGAGTGGAACTTCTTTATAAATGGGATACGGAGGTTGAGTCGACGCTGTAGACATAGTATTGTGTGTCTTAGTTGTAAAGGCCTGAACTGGTGCAACGAAAGAATGGAGCTCATCAAACATTTGCCATGGCAACAGCGATATAGTAGCAAAAGGTTTGTGACATTGCATCTGTGTTTAAAAGGCTGCAGATAGAAAAACAACAGCGCCTAAATGATTTTGAACACAACTTGAAAGTGAAGATTGAGCAGCTCCAGTTCAGATATGGCAGCAATACTTCATTATTATTTTTTTTTTAATATCATTGGACTCTTGTAAAGATAAAGCAAGAAAGAATTAGGTATTCTTTTGGGAGCGATAGGATGAACCAACTATTTTCTCGGCATCTTTAGTGATGGCTTGTCTATATGAGCTCATAAGGTCTGGAGTGAACGAGCCCCAGCAGACATTCAAAACACGGAAATTCGTTTTTAGTCCAACCGTTCACCATGACTGGAATGGAGATTTTATTTAATGAGGTTTATTTAAATGTTCAAGATGTGATTAAATTCGTAAGCAATTCGCAGAAGTGTTCATATTTTCATTTTTCCCACTTTTCGGAAAGGATTAGGAACAATCGTCTCAATTCGGTTGAGACACAACACAAAAGGGGAGGATTGGATAATTTTTGCATTTACCTACACCTATCTGGTCCTATTTATCGTCTATTTATTTGTTCTATTTATTGAAATATTTGGCTTACGGACATATCACGTTGGAACACCGGTTCCCTTACGATACAATTACCGAAGTTTACCAATGTTGAGCCTGGTCAGTACCTAGATGGGTGTTCCCTTGGGAATACCAGGTGCTGTAAGCTTGGATGCGCGGGTGGTGTAACGGATAATGACTCAGAATTTTCAAATTTTCAAACGGAGAGTCGTGTTTCAATTCCAGGTTGGTTTGTTATATTCACTTACGCGCAAATAACCTTGGAAAAGGTATGAATCCACCTGTTCTCCCCCACCAGCTATGGGTTAATTAGTAACAATCGCGTCACTAAACAATTATTATCCTTAAAAAATTCTTACTAACCCCAAAATATTTTCTGGCTTTAAATAACCTGTAAAGAGATGATAAGCCTTAGAAAACTAGTCGATTAATCAATTATTTAAATATTTCTTTTTTGTTTCAAAATATATTCTAAAGTATAACAACTGGATAATTTGAACAAATGTTAAATTTAGCAGCTTAGTTCCACATGTTCAGACCTTGACAATTAATTAAGAAATTCTAAAATGTCTGTCCGAATTATAATCAAGATTCACACCCACCCCCGAATTTCGTAGTCCATAATTAGGGGTGCGTATTATAAACGAATAAATACAGTATCTTATATTGCCATACAATGATGGTTCGCATTAGCCTTGTTGATCATTTCAATTGAACTTAATTCACACTGGGGTTTGCAACATTTTGATTTAGTGTTTGACTCTGTATATAAAGTCGATAGAAAGCTTATTTGAACTTTTCATTGTTGACTATTGTTACTCTGTTTTTTAATATTAAGCATTTTCTATACCAAATCCTGATTGTCTTTAAACGCGTTAAACTCCACTCATTTACTGGCCTGTATGTTTTGTTAGGCGTTAACGATCTGTATCATTATTATTAGTAGTAGTATTAGATCTATCTATGCATAATTCTCTTGAATTTATAAGATGCCTTTTATGTGTTATTCTCTTTGAATATTGCAACTTTAACTGAAGTTTTGTGATTTTTTTTATATTAAAAGGGTGGCGATTTGTTTGATGCCATTACTCAGAGCGTGAAATTTAGAGAACCAGATGCGGCAGGAATGGTGAAAGATTTATGCAATGCTTTATTTTATCTTCATTCCATGAAAATTGTTCATCGGGACTTAAAGCCAGAAAATTTACTCGTAAGTATTGCCATAAAAAGTATTGATAATGAGAAAACTTTGAAACATAGATTTTTTTTTTAATGTCATATCTCTTCAGGACGTAGTCACTTACAACTTTAAGCAGTTTCCCTTTTTTTAAAATAACTGTGAAATGCGTTGTTTTCTTAAAAATAATGGAATGATTCACCGTTTTCCGGTCACTGTTCTGAATTTAGAGTTAGCTGCCATACAAGCCTAGAGGGCCTAAATTCTGCTGCTAGTAGGCCATAGTTGAATGAGGTAAGGAAATGATGGATTCATGCCTTTCCCAAGTGAACGTAACAGGCTTGATCAGAATGTGAGCTCCACTCACCGATTCCATTTTCTGCAACAATAACCGCTAGGCTACTTACGTATCCATCCAGAAAGTTTCAGATTTGCTTATTATATCAAATCAGTATTTAGCAAAAGACTATAGGTTTATATGAAAGATTATATATTGGTCTGTTTTCCAGAGGATTGCAAACGTAACTATTGTAACGATATGTAATTTGGAGTTTACATTTCTTGGAATTTTCTAATTTTAACTTAATAGTTTTATAATGGTTACTTTGGACTAATTTCCTCGACTTTGTTGTTCTATTAGAACATTTTGACTGGTTACATACCCTCGGGTGTCTATTGTTGTTTAATTTCGAATCTTGTCCTGAGATTCGATGGCTACCCTCTCAACCCCCCCCAAACACGGGCGCAAGTGCTGTGTGGGATATATATATATATATATATATATATATATATATATATATATATAAAGTGAGGAAATTCAGGCCTTTTTAGTACTGCGTTCAACATTCCAAAGTGTAACAGATATGAGAGAAAAGCTGGAGGATACGCGACCAAAATGTGATACAACAACGAAAATGAGAATTTATTTGAATTTATTTTAATCATTTCACCCCAAGCAAGACGATAATGCTACTAAGACGCCAGGGGTTTACTGGGAGTAAAAGGGAACGAGAAAAGGTTAGTGAGGAAAAAGTATAAAAAAGAGGATTCAGGACGACAGAAGATGGCGATTGACGTTACCTTTAATTTTTTGAAGATCGTTAATAGCAGAAAAACACAAGGACGGAAGAGTGTTCCACAGGCGAGAAGTGTAAGAAAAGAAACTATTAGAATAGAACTTACGGTTGCGTTTAGCTATTTCAGTAGTAAAATGATGAAACCTATTTACTAATCTGTACGCTTAAATTTATACGGTTAAGGAAGCAGAGGAGGAGAGCCCATTAGAAAAGACGTAGTGAACATCGTAATGGCGGTGGGACTCCTGTGGGATCCTGGCATTAATGTGAAAAGAGCTAGAAGGGTCGCCGTTTAACACTGTATTCCTTACACGATTTGTCAAAAATGATTGGATTAAGTTAAATATTTGACAAAAGAAGCCTAAACATTGAACTTGCGGAGGTGACCAGCATGCCAAAACGAGTCTAATGATTTCGATATATCTAAAACCACAGCCCGAGCTTTGACATTCTTATCTAAAGCTTCATAAACAAATTCTATTGTATATACGTTATCGAGTATTAACTGTTATTCGCAAAAGGAAAAAGTTACAGCTGTTTATGTTAACATACGCACAATATATTTGTTCGGATTATTTATTAGGATTTATTAAAATATTGTTATTGACTGTGAGATAGTGCGACGGAAGCACTGGATGACATAATGGTTATGAAAGTGGAATCAACAAACCGAGCTATAACGAGGAAAAATGTTTTCCACACAAAACATATTGTATTTTACGGCATATGAAACACATATGTTTGCAATCACAATCTCAAAATTAACCTGCACACAAAACTTGGAGTTAGGGATCTATTACTTAAAACTTGCAGTTTTATCAGGGGCATGATATCTTGACTAGAATTTACTTTAAAAGCATTGTCAAAACTTTTCTTGATTATAGTAATTGCATTCATTAATCAAGAGGGATTTAGCTAATCCTGCTGGAAGAGAAAAAAAAATGAAATAATAACGTTGTTTATATTTTAGTAAGAATGATTTTTGAACTCTGTAGATGTAGGCAAAGTTTTACCGTTACTTCTACATAATCTTCCTTATCTTTCATTAAGTTCTGAACTTATTAAATAAATATTTTGCGGGGTCAGGAGAAAAGAGACGGTTAGAAATGGTTTTTGCATTTTTAGTCTTTTAGTTTAATTTTTCTTAATCTAGGATTTGTACGAAGGTTTCTGCATTAATTCCTCTCTGTTTTGCATAGAAAATGAGAGGGAAAATGATTGTAAGTGGTAGAGAATTAAGTCAACATTTGGAAACGCAGAAACCTTACAACAACATTTCAAAACACAGAAACCTTTCAACCGCCCTTTGAAATGCAGACACCTTTCAACCGCCCTTTGAAATGCAGACACCTTTCAACGGCCCTTTTGCAGAATTCAACGGCCCTTTGAAATGCAGACACCTTTCAACGGCCCTTTGAAATGCAGACACAACTTTGAAATGCAGACACCTTTCAACGGCCCTTTGAAATGCAGACACCTTTCAACGGCCCTTTGAAATGCAGACACCTTTCAACGGCCCTTTGAATGCAGACACCTTTCAACGGCCCTTTGAAATGCAGACACCTTTCAACGGCCCTTTGAAATGCAGACACCTTTCAACGGCCCTTTGAAATGCAGACACCTTTCAACGGCCCTTTGAAATGCAGACACCTTTCAACGGCCCTTTGAAATGCAGACACCTTTCAACGGCCCTTTGAAATGCAGATTTTTTCAACGGCCCTTTGAAATGCAGACACCTTTCAACGGCCCTTCGAAATGCAGAAAATTTTCAAACAGCCTTCAAAATACAGATAATTAGATAATATTTGGTAGTATGTAATGCAAGCTGATTTGCATTTTATAAAAAAAAGTGTTAGATGTTGATAAGATTTTATAATTAAATGAAATGCTTCGTAATGCTTTTTTTTTATTTGTTAAAGGTTCATTGGAATAAGGACGGGAATATGTCATTGAAATTGGCGGATTTTGGTTTGGCAATGGAAGTCGACGAACCTATTTTCACTGTGTGTGGAACACCAACCTATGTAGCACCAGAAATACTGTGCCAGACAGGTGAGTCTCAATGCCAAGTATAATTTTTAAACTAAGATATTGAAACTGTCATGTGTAAAAAAAAAAAAAAATCTATTCTGAGTGATATCAACTAAATTTAGTTTAAGGCACAGATGTGGGGGCATCTATGAAAGATTAAACTCGCTGCAGCTGATATAACCTGCAGAATTCATTTACTGATCACTCCTCTATGAAACGATGTTTATTTTAATCAGAATTCTACCCAGACGCAGCTGCTGTAGAGGATGAAGTAGTTCTGTCCTTCCCGATTCCAGGGGTTGATGTTCGAGCTTAAAAGACAGAATTTCGGATGCTGATTTTTTTAAAGGCATGTAGGCAGATTCTTTCCATTCGGACGATTGGCGCAAAATAGATTCTCTGTTTCCGGTTTTCGCTCTCCAGTTTGGTTCGGTGCCGAACTTAAGCTTGATAAATAAATAAAAATATTATGGATATTCAGGAGTGTTTCTCTACGGAGTAGAAGTTCTCAAGATTATTTAGCAGACGTTTACAATTGCATTAAGTACAATCCTGGCCGTGTCTTACGCTGGTCATTATGAAAGTGTAATAAACACCGGCTCTCTTCAAAGATACGATACATGTATTGTTGGGTAAATGAAAATCCGTTCGTATATGTATCAGTTGTATGGAAATTCTGATCAGATTTAATTACGATTAGCACTCTGTTAAAACTGAAGGGCTTCTCACAGCATAATTATCGAGCGAGTTTTCAAATTTTCCATTTAAGACTTTGTTTATTAACTGGTACCCGTCTGTATGTGAGGGTGTGATTATAATGGCTCTCGGTTGCTGAAGGTCTATTGTGTTCTTCGTTATATATATATATATATATATATATATATATATATATATATACACACACACACATATATATATATATATATATATTATTTACATTATTCGGACTATTGTTCTCATCTTTGTCGTCATATATGCACACACACACACACACACATATATATATATATATATGCTTATTAACTGGTACCCGTCTGTATGTGAGGATGTGAATATAATGGCTCTCCATTGCTGAAAGTCTATTCTGTGTTCTTCGTTTTATATATATATATATATATATAATATATATATATATATATATATATATATATATATATATATATATATATATATATATATATATATATATATATATATATATATATATATATATATATATATATATATATATATATATATATATATATATATATATATATATATATATATATATATATATATATATATATATATATATATATATATATATATATATATATATATATATATATATATATATATATATATATATATATATATATATATATATATATATATTATATATATATATTATATATATGTTAACATTGTAATGAGATTCAAAATACTTATGTAAGATCATTGACTTTAATTCTTGTAATTTTCTTGCACGTTTCAGATTTAGTCACTTTCCCATCGCCATAACATAGCTTTCCTCTGTCTTTTCTATATTTACATGACAATTGTTCTAATGACCTCTGCTCTTTGGTAGCTCGACCACATGAATTTATGCATACTATTAAATAAACAATTAGGTCTTTTTTGTGTTATTGTTTAAAAAAGCTTGATATAACCGTACGTTCTATTTTAATAGTTTCTTTTATCACCTATGGAACTCTCTTCCGGTTTTTATTGTCCTTTCCACTTATGTTCTTTAAAAATTTAAATGTAACTTCAATCATCACTTTCTGTCTTCCTGAATCTTGTTATTGAATTGTACTTTCTCATTAACAGTTTTTCCATTTTTTATTTTCACTCTCTGCAATCCCATTGCCTCTTGATGGAATGATATAAACAAAATAGAAGATTATGTCAGGATATTCTTTTCCTATCAATTCTTTTAGTACTGTAGGGCATTGTTACAACATTAATACAGTGTAACCCGGATATAAAAGAGTTGTCGGGACCGGAGAAGAAGTCTCTTAAACCGGGTTTCTCTTATATCCGGGTTTGGTCTATTTTATATACATTAACACAGGCTCTAATTTGGGACCAGAGAAAATCTCTCTTATATCCGGGTTTCTTATATCCGGGTTACACTGTACTGTGGTGTTTCAAACACTCCATTTAAAATATATCCTTTAGGTCTTAATTTCTTGTTATATATTGTTTTGAGGGTTCTTTATGATTTTTATAGATTAAATAAGAAAGGTTTGGTTTGTTTTATACCATATCAACCTCAATGGGTTATTTAATGCTGACAAGATTTTTATTGCTGGTAATATTTTTTTTTCAAAAATTCATTGATGGTAAAAATTTTTTTACAAAAATATATTGCTGGTATTAAAACCTATTTGTAAACTTTCTTAATGTTTTGACCCTACTTTTGGGGTTAACTATTTGCCCAGAACTGGGATCGAGATGCTACCATCTAGGGTCAGGGCGAACCTGGAAACACCAGCAATTAAGAGGTGATTCCACAATCCTTAAAACCTCCTGATCAGAAGCTTTGCTGTTGGATATAGTTTATCGTCTTACCCAGGACGAAAATAAGAAAGGAAAAAAAAAAAAAAAAAAAAAAAGAAAAAAAAAAGTAAAATAACGAAGACTATCAGTCAATTAAAACAAATTGATTTTAAATATGAAACTATTATTTATATTCTTTTCAGGAACAAGACTGTCCAAGACTTCAATTTCTAATAAAAATCTGGTCATGCACACTTTTTAAACTAGGGCTTCTGGAGGCTGTAATTCAATCTTTGTCAGAAACAAAGAATTGACTTCTCACTATTTTAAACATACAATCTCCCAATAATGAAAACAAGCAATATCATATTAACCCTATATTACTAGCGGAAAACTACACAAACTTTTGCCTTTGTTTACAATCACTTGCCTTGATAAAATCCGGCAAGGACGAAAAACTATTTTCCAATTGTCTATTTTATTCAATTTGTATTTTCTATAGATTTATTCTGAGAAATTTCATATATATATATATATATATATATATATATATATATAAGAAAAATATACAGAAAAAACAAACAAAAATCTTAATATGCAATTATGCTGTATTAATGTTAATATAAAGTCAACGTCGGACCTCTCGGTTTATTTTAGACCATCTTCAGGACATTATCATTTAAACATAATTAACATTAGAACATAGTATACATAGTATAATTAACGTAGAACATGTGTTTAGCCAGAAATAATTCATTCAAACAGATGTTGTTAAATTCAACCGACAAGGTCTGTGTATTTAATTTTTGTTATTCTCCCCACCCAATTTTTGAATAAGCTGTTGCATATCGGAATCAAAATCGTGGCTAAACTCTCTGAAGTTCATTTTTTTTTTCGTTTTGTTCAATTACTGTCGGCTGATTCAGTCATTTATCAAGAATTGGGTGCTGTTAGCATGGAAGACAAGATGCTGTTGGCTACATTCTGGTGTATTTTAGATGGCTGGAATTGTAATTTGTTCAAAGTTACTTCATATGTAACGGTTAAACGGAAAAGTCAGATTTTATATAAAACCAACTAAAAAATACATTAAATAAAAGCCACCAACCTAACTCACATCATGTATATAAAATTAGTAACAACAATGGCGTAAATAAAAATAAAGTATACACTTATGTATGTAAGTAAAAGTGAGCCTCTAGTTGATCTCAAATGGAAATTAGAAATCTCATCGGAAATTAGACAAAATGACCTACACGTCGGGCTTGGATTAGTGGTTGGAGTTGAAATATGCCGGAAGATTTTTTTCCTCAAATCTAAATTTTAGCTTCGTGATTCCAAATGATATTTTTTTAAGAAAATAATTGTTTAATAGGAATTTTCCATGAAGAAAGAATAAATAAAAGGTGAATGGTGTGGTTTCTCTTTTCTTTTCTTTTCTTTTTTTTTTTAACATTTAATAAGCGGCGCGGTAGAGGGTGTTGTTATTGTTATTATTGTAATAATAATAATAGATCCAAGAGTAGGTGTCGTGTTTTCATTTTTTTAATGAAATAAAACAAAAACAAAAAAACAAGAAAATTAATATCATTTACTTTTTAATTTCTTTTAAATTAAAATCTTAATTGCATGAAATCTCACCTTTTTAATATAACTTCGTTAATAAAATTTAAAAAAAAAACTATTAAAATCAACATATTGAAAAAAAAAATTCACTCAATTTTTAGCGTTTTTTAAATATATATTTTCGTCCTCAAATATTTCTGATTTAATACCCACCTCACGCGAAAAAAAAAAAAAAATAATAGACACACCTTTTCATCATTTTCTACAGTTAAAAAATGAATTAACCCAACCAATAATAACCGTTTATTTTCTGGAAAATCATATCTGTCTAGACATTTTGTACGCAGTAAAAATATATAATGAAACTGTGTGACGGCTTTGCATTGATATTCTTTCAGGTTATGGTTTAGAGGTGGACATGTGGGCCATTGGAGTCATCTCTTTCATCTTATTATGTGGGTTCCCGCCATTTCATAGTCACGACAGATGTCAATCAGAACTGTTTGAGTGTATCAAGTCCGGAGAATATGAATTTCTGCGGCCATATTGGGATGACGTTTCATTACGTAAGTTTAATTCGATTTTTATTTTAATCTACACTTTTGACAAATGGCGGCATCCAAATGTATCTTTCGGATTTCGTCTCTTAAACTCCAGGGAATTGCGTTACTGTTAGTGATTGGATCCCCTAATTAGCACTGAACATGTATTTGCTGGCTCTCTTTTTCTAGATCGTTAGCCTTACAAAAGTGTACATATTCACAAGGTGTGATATTTAATTTCTAGAATGGCCTTGTGAAAACAAAGTTTACTAACCTGGTTAATGCCGCCTTAACATTATTCCTTTTGTGAAGCTATCTCCTTCGTGAGACGGTCATGCCGTTGCTGGAAACATTCTTGGAATTCGTTTTCCAGAAGATTTTCAGTAATTAAATCATGTTGCATGATACCATAGATGTTATGCAATCTTTATCATTTCAGGGCATCTTCCAATTTTTGAAAATAACCAAAAATTTCGGGGCGGGTGTTTAAGTCTGGTGAATAAGATCAGTGTCACATTTTTGTAATGGATTTTCGAGCCATCTCCTAACGCATCATTTAATTCCTTCTCAAATCCTGTTAGAATCTAACACACTATTTCCCTTTTAATAGTCAGTTCTTAAACTATCAACCGCATACTTGATCTTCGATCTGATTGCATCAAGATTCGCATTCTGACCACATTTCAGTTATGTACGTCATCGTGAGCATCATTTCAACTTTACTTGAATCGCCTGCGCCACTGAAAAATGCTCATTTTCTTCGTAGCTGTTTTACCACAAGCCGTTTTAACAGGGTTAACGTTTCACTCGTACTTTTACCAACCTTCGCATAAAAATTAATGTCAAATCTGCTGCTCCATCTTCTTTTCACTAATTTTCTGCCAGCGGTATAACTTGATCACGAAAAACTTCCTCTACTGCTCAACTACAAAAAACTCATTTTGTTCGTGTCTCAAAAAAAAAAAAAAAAAAAAAAAAAGCGAAAGATGGAACGGACATGTTCCATCTTTCGCTTTTATTTTTCGTGCTTGGGAACAAATGCATATGTGACTCATTACGCTATAATCATTTCGGGAATTACATTGTCACATAACACTTCATGGTGACTGTAAGTTACAACTCGTCTGAAGATCGTACTGAAATGTGAAACGGACAGTCACCATGCAGTGTTCATACATACGCCCACTGTCTGTCTGCCTCTCTCTCTCATATATATATATATATATATATATATATATATATATAGTCCAATACAAGGCGTAAGTGCCACTCAAGGTAGAGGGTTATTGAATAAGAGTGTATAGGGAGAAAGCAAGTATTGCATATTATGATATATATATATATATATATATATATATATATAATATATATTATTACATATGTAGGATAGATAGCGACTTGAAGATTGTAGTGATCAAGAAATCAGTTCCGCATTGCAACAGCACTGGGAAAGAAGCTATTTCAGTGGAACTTACTCCTTACCACTGTAATATGAAGAGGATGAGCCGACTTAGTGTAAATGGCATAGAAGGTCCTAGCTGTAAAGGTCTGGACTACTGAAATCAGGGAATGTAATTCACTGGTAAAATAGCGAGTGGCTAGCAGCTTTGAAAAGAATTTGAAGGGTGGAAAATAGTCCATCACTCAAAATGGGCTCGCAAACGATTTTGTGACTTCTTTTAAATGAAAATCTGTTTAATTGAATGAAACCTCAACTTCTAATAAAAGGTGTCCGAGAAGTCACCTCGGGATTAAAAAACTGTAGCAATTTCGACTCTGTTTTTATTATTAATGGAAATTCAAACACTGGAATTGTATTCCCATTTAATCATGAAAAATTATACGACGTCAGAATCTTCAGTTTTCTACGCAAACACAGTCGCGTTCTTTCTATAGTTTTCTCCATAAGTGTTTAATAAATCTGGATGCAACCCCCGAATTTCTTTACAGATGTTATCTTTGAGTTGCTGAATCGTTTGCGATTTATTGATGCGTACACACGCCTTAAGGTCTCCTCCCAAAGGGAGGCGTCAGATTAAAAGAAAGTGGTGGTCATGAAATTTCACGAAATTACCCGTAAACAAATGTTTAATTTCTAAATAAAATTCCAAGATTTTCTTAATGGTTCTTTGATAATTTTCCTGTGTTAATCTAAGCTCTGAAGAAAAGTGAGAAATAAAAATAATGAGAAATGACATTTTATCACCTTTTTAAATAATTAGGTGACTTTTATGCCATCTTGTATAACTTTGTGACTTAAATAAAAATGTATTAAAATCAGCACATTTTTTTTTTTAAAAATTCTCTTAATTTAATGTATATTTCCTGTTTTCAAATATTTCTGACCTTATATATAAAAAAAACAGTTTTTCATTTGTCTCTACATAAATAATTGACTAGCCAATAATAATCTAACTTTCCGTAGCGGCCAATGAGTAGTGTTCGAGTCCGAATAAAAAAAAATATATTTAGAAGAACAAAAGTTGAAGTAACATGTTCTTCCTTTCTTCTATTTAGTTTTGTCTGTTGTATTGTTGTGTTAGTTTATGTATTTTACCATCAATAACAAATATAAAATAACAATTAGGTTGTTTTAAACAAATGAACCTTATAATCATGCTATCAAATACTTTATTTATTTTTCCTAGATGCCAAAGATCTGATTGAACACTTACTTCTGGTTGACAAGGAACAGCGTTACAAAGCGTCACAGGTCCTAGTTCATCCTTGGATTATTTGCGGCGGAGATACAAGTCGAATTTTGAGTGGACCCGAATTGGCTGAGGCTCAAAAGACTCTTCATGGACAACTCGATGCTGAAGCAAAGAGAAATTTTGAAGTCTTCCATAGATTAAGAGAACAAATGAATTGAATAATTCAAAAAATAGTTTCGGTGTATTACGGTGGACAGTAACATGAACACCATTCATAATATGAACAATACATGCATTTTTTTTTCTAAATATGTTTGTACATATTTGAAGTTCTGTACAATCATGTAAAATATATAAAGATAAATATTTGTATTTCGCATAGAGTGTCATCTTGTCTGAGTCATTATTTTTGCAACAAGGGTGAACTGAAAAGTTCATAGACTGACTATGAAGGAGTGATGCTAGAGCTGTGAAGTCTTGCATGTATTAACACTAATAACAGCATTGTTTCTTACCAGGTTAACTGACATTTGACTGTTTAAAGAAGAGTGTACATCCTATTTATAAAAAAATAACAGTAAAAATAACGCCATCACCATTGCAATACTGGTTCCTAGTCAAGTTTTTTTTATGTTGGGGAACAGATGATAGTCAAGTTAGGAGAATGGTGAGTTCAAAGCCATAGTCACGCACAGCAGTCATTGAAACCAAAGACTTGTACGCTGGAGCATTGTCCTGAAGAAACAAGACACCTTTCATCAGTTTTCCTGAGTGTTTAGCCTTGATAGACCTTCGTAACTGCCTCAACAAATTGGCATAATACTCTCCATTGATGGTGTGGCCCTTCTGAAGACCGTCAATAAACTCGGTCCCAAAATAACTGCAGGTGAGGAGTTTTTGTCTTGCATTAATTGTCTCTGGCTCAAAGTGATGAACTCAACACTCATCGAAACGAAACCAGCTGGATCTGCCTCAGACAATGTCAAATTTTCCCATGATGTGACTAACCTGGTGAGCTTTTGATACGGTATCAGAAGACGTGGCACCCACCTAGCACAAAAATTCGTCGTGGCAAGTTTATTGTGCAGAATATTCTCAAGACTCTCATGGGATATGCTCATAGCATTGACTATTTGATTTATAGTCGATCATCACTCATCCATCACCATGTGATGAGCACGATCAATGTTTTCATCGGCGGTGGCAGCTACAGGATGTTTAGACCTTTGGTCATCTTCAAGACTCTACCCTCCCTTCCTAAATTCAGCTGCCCACGTTTGCACTGTGGATAAAGCTGGAGCATCATCCCCTAATATAGCAGCCATGTCAGTATGAATGTCCTTGGGGGCCAACCCTTTTTCTGTCGGTACTTAAGAATACCATGATGCCAAATTTTGTCCATTTTCAAGAGAAGTTGCTACAAGTTTTTGAAGTCCTCTGAACGGTCAGATGTCAGCATACTTGGAAAGAAACAATGCAGTTATTAATAAGAACAGTTGAAATTAATGTATGCAAGGTTTCACAGCTCTAGTATCACTCTTTCATAGTCAGCATATGAAGTTTTAAGCACACTCTCATATTTTACAACACCACTGAAAAGAGCCATAACAGCTACTGAATTAAGAAAATCATTTTTCTGAAAAATTGTTTTAAGAGAAAGATTGTATAAATTTCAAGTGATAAATGGCTGTTTGGTCAATGAATGCTGAATGTTCTTTTTTTTTTTACACAATAATGTTCACCCTGTACAAGGCCCAAGACCCACTTAAGGTACTGTTAGAGAGTAAAAGGTACAGTTTATGATATGTGTGGAAGATAAGTTATTCCTAGATTTTAAGATTGTAGTGATCAGGAAGCATCCTTGGTTACACAAAGTACAGTTTCGTGGGAAGAAGCTACTCAAGAGGAACGATGGAATGCTAGGAGAATGAGGGTGGTTTGCTACAATGTGCGTAGCATGGCGGGTTTTATCCGTGAAAGCAAGAACTGGTGGCACTAAGGAGTGTAGCTCATCTGAACACTTTTCTAGAGAAGCCTGCGACATCACGTGTTCAAAATGGATGAAAAACGAAATCAACGGCAGGAAATGAAAACACAAATCCGGTTCACAATAACTTGGTGCATATTTCAGTGGGGTTACAAATCGGACCTAATATTTCCCATGGTAGCAAATAGGAAGAGGCATAGGCCCCTTCGTTTCTTCTTACTTCTGCCGAGCAACTGTTACCAATATGACTGGTTGTGTGTGTGTTGTACTAATCTAAACTTTACTAGTACAAGGCTGCAGACTGAAGCATCTGGTTTCCGACAAAGCGTCGCTTGATCTCACGTTTTTATTTGTTTCTTTATTTACTTCCCGCTTCTGTCAAGTGGGTTGCCGCTTCAAACACGAGACTTCCAAGATTTTATTGTCCTGCCATTAAACACATACACAGCCAAACTACTGACCCCGATAACATCATTTAGAGTTCATTTGACTTCGTGTGTGTTCAGCCAGACGTACGTGGGGGTGGGCATTGTCGCATGAACGGTTTAATAAGCAAAAACCGTATTGAAAAACATGCTTAATATTATAAGTATGGCTGCATTTGTTCGTAGTTGTTAAATAAATAAAGAACCTGATAAAGACTAACTGCTGATATGGACGCTTGGCTGATAAAGTTGTTTACGTCATAATTACGTCTAGCCTAATGTAACGAGTGCTTTTTTTTTGCTTTTTTTAAAAAACTAGTGTGGATCAGTTTTATTTATTCACCATATCCGTATATATTTTCTTCTTTCCCTCCCCCGTAGCGAGAGAGCCTCTTGATTCTCGTTTTTGAGGGCTGGACGGGTTCAACTAACATCAGTTATCTTTAATTTGTTCGTTTTTTCCGGGGGTGGGGGTGTCATCCCCTCCCCTCTCATTTTATATCATGTACAAATTTTTACGTATAGTATTTTATAATGATGAAATGTAATTTTTGTCATGGGTTGCGTTTTTTTTATGTAGAAGGAGAGTATGCGATATTATGGTGTATGGAGGATTGATTGGCGATGGATGAGTTTTTGCGGTGAATGTGTCGATTGTAAGGAATGAATGGGTCGTGAAACTAAGATTAGCTAGGTATAGGATACTAAGTGACAACCAGCCTCAGTCTCATTCTCCACTTTTCGGCCTTGTGCCACAATTGTGTATTTTACGCAATAAATCTTAACGGGTGTGGGATAAGGTTAAGATTATTTAGTCCCGGCGCTAAGGAGGGCAATACAAATGAAATCACTTGCCGTCACCAATAACGTAAAAGGATGAAAACTAATTTTAAAATGCAAATTCTTATTTGCAGTCCCACTTAAATACTGACCTGTAACCTACTGAAAACACTTCTGGGTTACTCTGAAATACAAAACGATGATATGTGAAAATAGTGGAGAAAGTACCTCCACTAACATCAGTGACGCAGCTGCAACAACAATTCTATTACTGGTGATAGATCCTTACGCTACTAAAACCACACACATTTTACACTGAGCGAACCATCTCTCTTTCCATCACTCTAATAATATAATACATTAACTGCCTCTCTGTCTTTCAGTTTGCAATAGTAGTCGCCGACTACAAGAACAATTAGGTCAGACAGGCTGGTGACGCAGTAACATGTCCGATCGAAAGCTAAAATTAGATTCTCACACACGTGTAGAATCATATGATCAAGTACGAAATGAAGAGCAGGAAAACGTTGGCATGAATCAGTTGGAATCCGAGCCTTGTGCGAGTAACATTTCTTTTTATTTGTTACCGTCAAGCAAAGGGAATCGCACAATGAAGACAAGACCCAATTTAACTCATCATACCATAGTGCAGAAACCAAATTCACGGGTGAATTACTAAGTGTGATAATCACCTAAGACAACCATGTGTGACCCAATCAGTTGGAAGCAGGCTGCAACTAATACCTACGCCGAATCTTTCAACCCGAACGACGAATTCTACATTGATGCGAAGAAGAGAGTGAACGACCAGCTCTTTAGTTCAAAACTCATAACATTGAAGAACAAACAATAAACCAAAAAAATATCGTTGTCCTAGCGAAAAGAACACAACTGAAAGTAAAAAGAAAAAAGAGAAATATAAAACAAAAGAAAGAGAGAAAAGAGAAAACCTTTCTTTATTTCAGGCAAATAGCCAAAGCTAAGTGAATTTTGACTTTCCAGCTCAGACATATAATGCATACATCTTTCCATACAGAAATGTATAGAACACACCTTTCTACGCATTATATTGCATTAATGCTTTCATGTACCGTCTCGTTATAACTAATTCTTGCTAATTCGTATATTAGCGTTTGTTCTTTGTTGCTGTTGGTTGCTTCTCTTCATTTGTGTATTTTATTCTGTAGAGAATCCTTTCTAATACGGAGTGGTGAATCTAGTCATCTCTGCCATGTGACAAGTAGCTTTTTTATCTTTAAATGCTGTAGTAATTGTCCTTAACATAAATTAGGGGCTCGAGTCCGAAATTCTCTATCAGCGAAAATACACGTGGAGACCAATAGTGACGAACAGACAATAAAATAAGATGGCAGTTGTAGAAGCTTTTCTAAGAGAACCATCCTAGAACAACTAAACAAACTCCGAAAAGCCGACGTGCTAGAGATATGGAAACAGAATAAGATGTTAGAAAGACGATGAGAAAAGCAAGCTTACAGAGAATAAAACCTGGGCATATGATCGATAAGGACATATTTGAAGAGGAAATATTAAATCAATTACTGGTAGATGTGCGGGACCGTGGGTTTACGTGTTGTTAAATTAGAAACACGTGTGTAACTCCTGGTAGAATATTAAAAAAGTCCACTACAAGAATATGGCGGACTCAAGTTGAGTCCAACCGAAGATGTAAAGAAAACAAACAAGATCGATATATATATATATACAACAAGTATATGTATTAAACAACAAAATTTACAATGGACAAAGAAATCATCATTTGTGTTTGTGCGTGAACGTAAATAGTTCGTATTTTTATGAATGTTCGTACGTACGTGTGTGTGTGTGTGTGTGTTTCATGGCGTTTTCCCACAAGTGGGCAAAACCGCAAATATCTGCGGGAGATCACATCCTTTTAAATGTGTCCGCTGAAATGCAAAGTAAAAAGAGAACGAGGTAAGAAATCGCCCAGTATTTATAGTGTATGGAGAGTGTACTCTAGTGAACAATTAGGAAATTAAGGAGGAGT